GACTCGGCGTGCTTGCCAATCTCCCCGGGCAGCAGCAGGCGCACGGCTGTCTGGATCTCCCTGGTGGTGATGGTGGAGCACTTGGTGGAGCGGGCCAGGCGAGGGGCTTCGTCGGCAATGCGCTCGAGCATGTCCTTAACGAACGAATCCAAGATGCTCACGGTCTTCTGCGAGAGGCTCAGGCCCTCGTGAACTTGCTGCAGAACCCTGGGGAAGTAGGCGGCGAAACTGTTGGGGCAGCGGCGGCGGCGGCAGCGGTGGCATTGGCGCCTTGGCTGCTTGTGCTTCGGGCTCTTCGGGTCCGCTGCTGTGGGTTCCTTCGTGCCCGGGCATTCCCCAGAAGAGGTCTCACAGCCAGGCTCAGCCATGTGGGGCTCGCCTTCCCGACAGCTCCGATGGAAGGACGATGGCGGCTGCCGAGGGGGCGCTGGCCCATTTACAGTTGCTGCGCTTCCTGACGTCACGGGCAACCTCCATATCTGATTGGACAAAAGGCAGGGCTCTATGCCAGGCCGTGCCCCCTGTGATGGCATACCCTCGAGCTTCACATCATGTCGGACAATCGGAGAACGAAATCCGGTGCCCTCTAAACTTGTTGGGACCTCGGGCAGAAAATCTTTCAATCATTCCATTTCATGGTGCATTTTGTCTGCTCATTTTCAACATCAAAACAGTAACAGATCTTAGGAGAGTCCTATTTTTATTGGAATAGTTTATATTGCACATCATTACCTTATTTCTGAAAAGCAGTAAATTGCCATTGGATCAGGACATGGTAGGAACCAGGATGCTCTGGAGACCCAGAGTCAATGTGTCCATCTCTTAAAATGACACCAAATGTAAAGTGGTGGTAATGCAAACACATGAGTACATAGGAAGAGAGGAAGAAAATAATGCCTGGGTTTAAACAGGCATGTGTAGCAGGGGGTAGCAATATTGGAGCACCTTCCCTTTCTATTCAATTAGTTTGTAGGGGGGGGCAAATTTTTTGGCAGGTTGGGAGCAGCACACAAGGAAGAGATGCATAAATTGGACCAGTCCCTTTTCATTTATCTACCCAAAGACAGTATATTAAGAAGTCACAATTAAGAGGTGGGGGGGGGGGTTTTCAACTGGTCATAAGTAATTACATATCTCATAATAGCTCCTCGTGGTGCTAGTTTGTAAACGCTGTAAGGAAGGGCCAGCAGAATGGGATAAACCAGAGCTGAATCTTATTTCGCCATGTTTTCTGCACAAAGCGAGAGGTGAGGGTATGACATTGGGGTGGTTGTATGTGGAACTGCTGAAATGTCTAGGGTCCTGTGATCCTTGAGGTGTGTCCACAGGAGATAACCGGAGATCCCAGAAATTCTCAGGCAGAGCTCTCATGTGCGGGCTTGGCCTGCCCCGGTGGGGCAAGACCAGAATAGTGCCCAGTAGTGCCCAGAGTAGAATGGAGAGAAAGTCAAGCAGCCACGAATCCCCAGCGAGCCTCCATTCTGTCACAGTCACTGGCATACCCTTTCTTTTTTCTTGCCAAGCAACCAGATGCTGATCTTCACAGATGGCAAAACCACTGCTCACAAATCAGAAGAGGCCTGGGCACACAGGCCAGTTTGTCAGGACCGGTTTACTTACCTTTCCAAGTCACTACTATCATTGTCAGCTGCTCAGCCTAACCCAACAGGTGCCACTACAGGAGAGGAGAGGGAGAAGGACGAGTCCCAGAGGGCCCATTCCCAGTGTACCGCCAAGTCCTCTTCCTCCTGACAGCCTGGAACCTGCAGCTACCACAGATGGGTCCCCCTGAAGATCCTTTCCCCTCTTCTGGCTTTCCAGGCACCGTATCAACTAATCAGAGTTGGTATTAAGCTTCCTGTTGCCTCTCTCAGAAGTACTACGAAAACACGCCAGTGAGAAGAAAGGTCAACCAACAACATGTGTTCACTGATGCCCAGTAGGGGAGCTTCGGGAAGACTTCACCAGAAGCACCAAAGATTGTAGGCTTTTGAGCTTTGGCTTACTGAGAGAGTCTGACCTCCATATCCCAGGCCCCTAGTTCCAGAGGAATGACTGGCCAATTTGGGGCCATTTCTCCTACCACTCAGAATGGACTGTTGTCCTGGGCTAAGCCACCATGGCTTGGGCAGGAACTTCTACATGGCCAGCAGAGTGCTGGTGCAGATCAAGAGACATAATTGATGAGCCCCTGCCCCGAGTTCTGACCAAGACCCTCAGGAGAAATGGCAAAACCATAGTCTCCAAACACAGCACACAAAGAGGTAGTCATACGGATAAAAACACCAGAAAGGATTTTAGTGTTTTTATCACCATTTGCCAAATTTCAAATTGTTTTCCTAACAGTAGTTAGGTTGTAGAAACAATACCCGCACACTAGAATTGCTGACCAAATTTAAGTGTTGTTGGCTGGAAAACAAAACAAAAACAAAACAAAACAAAACACCAATTTACCCAAATTGTCTAAGAAACCACCAGAGGGACCTATATTACTCAACTCTTGTTGATCAGACATTTGATGTGGCCATCAGGGGAG